CAAGAGAAATAAAAGGCTAAGTCTGCACAAAAAATTGTACAGGAATGTCCATAGCAGCCTTCTTCCTGACAGTCAGGAAGTATAACAACCTAAGTGCACATTACCTGGTGCCTGGATGTCAATTTCCTGGTTCCTGGATATAGATTTCAGGGTGAATGGATATAGATTTTCTGGTGAGTGGAAGTAGATTACCCAGTGCATGGGTATAGATTACCATGTACATGGATGTAGATATTTCCTGGTACATGGATGTAGATTACCTAGTGCATGGATGTAGATTTCCTGGTGCATGGATGTAGATTTCCTGGTGCATGGATGTAGATATTTCCTGGTGCGTGGGTGTAGATTACCTGGCGCATGGATGTAGATATTTCCTGGTACATGGATATAGATTAGCTAGTGCATGGATGTAGATTTTCTGGAGCATGGATGTAGATTACCTGGCTCATGGATGTAGATTACCTGGCTCATGGATGTAGATTACCTGGTGCATGGATGTAGAATGAATGTAGTAGAGCTACACAGTGAAATATTATTCAGCTACAAGAAGGAAATGAAGTGCTGATATATGCCACAGCGTGGATGATTCTTGAGGACATTATGGGAACAGAAAGAAGGTAAACACAACAGACCATATATCATATGATTTGATGTGTGTGAAATGTGCAGAACAAATGAGTTCATCAAGATAGAAAGTAGATTACTGGTAGCAAGTGGCTAGGGCTATGGAATTTCATTTTGGGGTGACAAAAGATTCTGGAATTAAAGAGTGGTGGTGGTCATATGACTCCATATGCAGATACGTGTGGCTTAACACTCATCATACATTGTTGTGAAATTGTTGTGACATTATGTGATTTGTACATAGTGAATATACCAGATAGTGCTTGCACAACTTGCAAATTTCATAATGTCTGCGGTCACACGGCTCGTGCGGAGGCAGGGCCTGAGCCCTTTGACTGCTGTTTTCTGTGGCTGCGTTCTCTGACACACATGCTTTTCTTCACCAGCACAGCTCTTCCAGCTGGAAGGGGGACCAGAAGAGGTTTGATCCTGACCTGGTGGCACTGGTGTTCCTCCCCCTTCCACCCCTGCAATAGTGAGAGGAGGCTGAAAGGGGAGCTCAGGGTGAGCGTCTGCAGCCCTATACACCAAAAAGGCTTCCGTGCAAGACCTTTTTGCCACACCTCTGCTCAGAGAGTGAAATGGGGTCCCATATGTGCTCACCTTCAGGAGCCCTCAGAGGAGACGGCAACCCTGGCAGATGACCAAGAACCCTCTCCTGCTCTGCTGCTTATCAGTCCTTCCTCACCAGGAACACCTTCTAGAGAGGCACCCCCCCAAATCATCTCAGTGATCATCAACAAGGCACCCCTCCCTCCAGCCCTGAGTGCTGACCAGCCACAGCTGGAGAAAGAGCTGTCAGATCTGACTCAGAAGAAACCCCTCACGGCCTGGCTCCTGAGGTGAGGAAGGGCCAGGTTCCAGAGATGCTGGAGAGCCTGCTGAGGCCCATGCCTGGAAACCAAGTGTGGGGACAGCTTTGGACTAGAGCCAGTTTGGAGCAGCTTTTGGACTAGTCACCAGGGACTGGACCCTGTGCGTCCAGGAAGGGCCCTAGAGCAGCTCCTGCTACTGGGAGGTCTGGGGACCCCATGGGGTGAACTGGTTAAAAGAGGGAAAAAACAACTCAAATTGTATGAGACCACGGGCCCAAGTGTGGAGTCAGACATTGCCCAAACAGATGTTATAGGCTCTTTACCTATGCTGAAAACCACTGATTTGTACTCTGTAAAACAGTACATTTTATAATACCGGAGTTCAATTAAAAAGGCAAAACAAATACAGAGAGAATTTTTTTTAAGGCAAAAGATTGGAATACTTTGACAAAAAGAAAACAAAAACAGTGCAAACTATTGGCCACCAAGTCAGTTCCAACTGAGAGATCACAGGACAGAGTCGTATTGCCCCTTATAAAACTAGGTGGCCACATCTTTCTCCTGTGGAGTGGCTGGGAATGCTTTAGTTAGCAGTTGAACCACTGAGTCAATAGAAAAACATACTAGTCACTCAAATCCTCTGCTGTGAAGTCAGTATAGCTCACAGTGACATTTGAATACCGTGCAACCGCCCCACAGTGGAATACTAGTCAGCTATAAAACCGTAAGCTTTATGGCACAGACGGCTCCAACTTTCTCCTGCAGAGCAGCTCATGAGTTGAAACTGCTGACCCTTTGGCAAGAAATCAAACACCTTAAGCATTATCATATCAGAACTCCTTCTCACTAGTCACTGGAACCCTGAGGGAGAAAGATGGGCATGTTCCTGTGGAATATACAGCCTCCAAACCCACTGAAGGGTCAGCGATGAGTTCCTTCCACATCAAGTCAATTCCAACTCATAGCCTTTCTACTGGATAAAGTAAAACTTCCTCCCTGGGATTGCCAAGACTGTAACCTTTATAACTTTCAGCGTCACAATTACACACCAGCCACCACAGTACAGCAGACCACAGACATGTTGTGGTGGGTATATGTGTGGTCAAGGACCTCTTTAAAGTATCACACAGGAAGGTTATCAGGCAAGCCCGACTCAAGCCACACTCTTTTCCATTGTTTTGTATGTATCTGAAAGTTGGGAAGTGAATAAAGAAGTCCGTAGAATACTCTTTGCCTTTGAATCATGGTATTGGCAAAGCGTTTTCAATATACCATGGGCTACCAAAATAACAAACGAATCTGTCTTAGAGAAAGTGTAACCAGGGTACTCTTCAGAATACTTTGGGCACAGACTTTGTCTCACATACAACATCAGGAGGGGCCAGTCTTTTGGAAAAGACATCATGTTGGAGAAGGTAGAGGGTCAATGAAAAATACAGAGTGCCATGTCTTTCTCCTGCAGAGTATTGGGTGGATTTGAACCACAAACCTTTTTTAGTTAGCTGCTAAGCACTTAAGCACTCTACAGCTAGGACTTCTCAGTAGTCACTGTCATTGTTGTTAGGTGCTGTTGAGTCAACAACTCATAGCAACCCTTTGAACACCCCATCTGAACCTTCCCCTATGTCTGATATACTCGAACTCATTGTTACAGCCACTGTATTGATCCATCTTGTTGAGGTTCTACCTCTCTTTCTTTGACCCTCAAATTTTTCAAGTATGATGTCTTTTTCCAAGGACTGGCACTTCCTAACGACATGCCCAAAGTACCTGGGATGAAGCTTCACCATCTTAGCTTCCAAGGAGCACCCTGGCTGCACTTTCTCCAAGACAGATTTGTTCTTTTGGCAGTCCATGGAATGTTCTTTCCCCAACACTACAATTCAAAGGCATTGATTCTCCTTCTGTCATCTTTATTTGTTGTCCAATTTTCAGATAATTGAAAAGATGATGGCTTGGATCAAGTGTACCTTAGTCTTTAAACTGATATTCTTGCTCCTTAGCCCCTTGGAGAGATTTTTTATAGCAAATTTATGCAATGCAATGTATTTTTTTTTAATTTCTTGACTGCTCTTACCACGGCTATCACTAATCTTTAAAGGACTAAAAATACACTGAGAATGAGTGTAGTTAAAAAGATTGACCATAATAAGTTTCAGCAAAGATGAGAATCAACTGAAATTCTTACCCTTGCTAGTAGAAGAGTCAAATGGTATGATGACTATGGTGGACAGTGTGACAATTTCATTAGCTCTTAGTACATACATGCCATATAATCCATTTCACTCCTACGTGTGTACCCAACAGAAATAAAATCATATGACCCTACAAAGACTTGGACATGAATGCTCATAGCAACTTTGTAACGGTAAGAAAAAATTGCAAACAACCCAAATGTCCACCAATAGGTGAGTAGATAAAGCAAACTGTGGTATAGTGCACAGTGGCATGTTCGTTACTCAGTAACAAAAGGAGTGTTGTTGGTACTGTGAGTCGACTACAACTCACAGCGACCCTGTGAATAACAGCTCTGAACCTTGCTCTGTCCAGCACCATCCTCACAATCTCCATCATGCTCAAGCCCATTGTGCAAGTCATGTCTTCAATCCATGTCATAGAGGGCCTTCCTCTCCTTTACCGGCCAGCTACCTTTCCCAGCATGATGGCTTTTACCAAAGACTGTTCCCTCCTGACAGCATCACCAAACTATGTGAGATGTCGTTTCACCATCCTTGTCTCCAAGGAGCACTGACTTGAATGCATCTCAAAATAATCATGCTGAGTGCAAAAAAAAGCCAGACAAAAAGAGACTGCGTAGTGTATTTTATAAACTGGATTAAATCCCCAGTCTCCAAATATGTGTTTTAAACCCTGACTCCATCGGGGAAGGGGTTTTCTTTGTTGTGTAAGTCAAACAGTATTTGTGTAGAATGTGTCTTAATCTCTTTTAAGGTATAAAAGAGCAGATACAGCAAAGAAGAGAGGAAGCAGATGGAAGGTAGATGCCATGTTACATGAAAATGGCCAAGGAGCTAGGGAACAGAAGAGTAAAAAGAACAAGAACCTTTTACCAGAGCTAACAAAGAGCCAGGAGCCTGAATTTGGACTTCCAGCCTCCTAAACTGGGAGGAGGAAATAAGTTTAAGCAGTCCACTTGAGGTATTCCTGTTACAGCTGCAGTGGCCAACTCAAACTTTGTATGACTCATACAGTGAGATTCTACCACAGACCTATAGAATAATTGCAGTTAAAATTTTTGCCATACACCACAACAAGATAAACAGTTGAAAAATGGGCACAGGTTATGAACAGACACTTCACCAAAGAAGACATTCAGATGGCCAATAAGCACATGAAGAAATGTTCAAAATCCCTAGCTCTAAGAGAGATGCAAATCAAAACAACCACGAGATATCATCTCACCCCATTCAGAACAGCAAAATTTAACAGAACAGCAAGCAATAAATGCTGACAAGGTCGTGGAGACAGAGTGGGTTCTGTGACCTTCGCTGTGGGTCATTCCTTTGGTCTAGACCTACGGTAGGGAGTCGGGGAGATTACCTGGCAGCTCTCAGGGGGCTGACCCTCCGAAGGCTCTAAATTAGACTGCATTCTCTGCTGCCTCCCGGGCTTCTCCCCTGAGCCTGGCTGCTGCAGCCCAGCGGTCACCACAGGAATTGGATGAGGCTGCAATTCCAGCTTGCTCCCTGGCTTGCTCTGATCCTGGCCTTCTTTCAGTTCTCCTGGTCCTTCTAGGGGAGACTGTGAGGATTGCTTCTTCCTGGGGAGAAACCAGGTGCGTCTCAGCTCCTAGAATAGGGTATTGTTTCTGTTCTTAAGAGTCCTGCTTCCCTTTCCCACCACCCCCTCCCCTACCCAAAGCACCTGCACAAGGCGCATCATCAGTACACATTTCAGGCTCTGCTCCCAAAATCTCAGACACTTTGGTGTCAATGCTTACGGGTTAGGATTTAATTTTTTTAAGTATTATATGTTGCTTCTCAGAGGAAGGAAGGGAGAAAGAAAGAAAAGAAGGAAGGAAGGAAGGAAGGAAGGAAGGAAGGAAGGAAGGAAGGAAGGAAGGAAGGAAGGAAGGAAGGAAGGAAGGAAAGAGAGAAATGGTTTTCACAGAGGTTCTAAAACTCAATACAAGGATCTTAAATTTTACATTTTAGAATTTTAATCTGTGTCCATCTGATCTCAGTACTCTGGAATATTTCCTCTAGGCCAGCAAGGGAATTATTTTGCCATCCATTAGGCTTAGGAAAAGCCAATCTCACAGATGGAGGGGACCTCACTAACATTAAGAGCCAGGAGCAGAGTGGGTTTTTTAGACCCGGGGTTTCTGCTCCCTGAAGACATCCTAGACTCGGGAGACAGAGATAGTTACAGCGTTGGAGGTGACAGAAGACAATAACTGCAAAAGACAGCAGTGACATAGAACCACAGGCAGCTGCACTGGACTACTGGACCCACAGAGTGAGAAAGATGAACGCCTTCCTGGTGATGTAAGGTTCCTCCAAGCACTTACAGCTAGAGAGCTGGAACAGTTCCTGTGAAGAGCAGAGGCTGACAGGGTGGAGCATCATAGCCAACGTCAGATGGAACTTGGCTGAAAGCAGAGAGTACCAGAGGAATGTCTACCTGTGTTTCATTGACTATGCAAAGGCATGTAAGTGTGTAGATCACTACAAATTGTGGCTAACCTTGAAAAGAATGGGAATCTTATTCTCATGTGAAACCTATACTCAGACGAGGAAGTATTCCTCAGTACACAGCAAAGAAACACTGTATGGTTCAAAACCAAGGAAGGAATACATCAGGAATGTGGCCTGTCTCCATACCTTTTCAATCTCTTTGTGGAACAGATGATTCAGGAAGCTGGACTTTATGAGGAGGAATGTGGCATCAGTATTGCAGGAAGACTCATCAACAACCTGCACTATACAGATAACATAATCTTGCTTGCTGAAACTGAGGAGGACCTCAAGCGTTTACTACAGAAGGTCAAGGACTGTAGTCTTCAATATGGATTGAAGCTCAACATCAAGAAAACAAAGAGTTTCACCACTGGGCCAATTGGCAGCACCATGACAGATGGAGAAGAGATTGAAATTCATAACAATCTCAGCTGACTTGGCTCCACAATCAACACTCTTGGCACTAGCAGTCAGGAAATCAAAAGATAAATTGCACTGGGAAAATTTGCTGTCAGGGACCTTTCCAGAGTGTTAAGGAGCAACAATGTCAGTCTAGAGACTAAGGTTCACCTGATCCTGCCACGGTCTTCACTTGCTATACATCAGAGTTCAACAATGACTAAAGATGATAGAAAAATCTATTCCTGTAAGTCATGGTGCTAAAGAAGATTACTGAACATTCCATGGATTGCCAAGAGAACAAACAAGCCTGTCCTGAAGAGGGTGAAGCCAAGTTGCTCATGGGAGGCAAGGATTTTAAAGCTCCATCTGACATACTTTGGGCATGTTGCTAGGAGGGCCCAGTCTTTGGAGAAGGCTATCATGCTGGGAAGAGTGGAGGGACAGCGCAGGTGAGGAAGACCCTAGATGAAATGAATTGACACAGTGACTAGTATTATGGGGTAGATGTGTCAGAGACAATGAGATTGGTTCAGGATAGGGCGGGGTTCAGAGCTATTGTGCATAGGGTTCCTATGAGTTGCATGCAACTTGAAGACATATAACAAAAACATGTCATTTTACAAGTATAGTTTTCAAAACATGCCTTTTATCTTTAAATTTTTTGTTGTCATTTGAGTGGGAGTTTACACACTAGATTGGTATTCCATTCATGCACTTTTAAAATACATTACATAGACTTTACAGATTTATACATGCAACCTTTATGTTTCTGTGGTTCTCAGACTCTTTTTGGTTCATTCATATATCTATCCAGTGAACACATACTTACAGAACATATGATATTTACTATGATACAGGCATGGTGTTAAGAACAAGACATTCGAGGCTGAACAACAAACAGAAATAGCTCTTCCGCCCACCCCCTTGTTGTGTACCATCAAATCGAATCCAACTGGCACAGGAGGAGATTGCCCCTCCTTTTCCAATGAAGCATGTGGTGGATTTGAACTGTGCACCTTTGGGATTATAGTGCAACTTCTTACCACTAGACTACCAGAGTTCCCCAGAAATAGCTCTTGAATGAGACCCATGAAAGGAGTGTATGTACACTATACATTCAGTGAGGGGGACTCAGACAAATAGCTAATGCAAATGAGTATTTAGATTGTGATTTGTGCTGTGAAAGTACCAGCAGACATGCCTTAGCCTGGGAGTTCTCTCTTCTCTCCAGGTGGATCACAGGGGACACTCCTGGATCCACCCCCTTCCAGCTCACCCTGGCCTTGCCTGAGTTCTCGGATCCTGGGTCCTGAGTTCTGAAGGCTGCTCCTCTGAGGCCACTGCGTGTCCAGGCTCCTTCTCTGGACCTCCCGGAGTTGAGGTGGGCTGCTTCCCACTGCCCATTTCTGGAGGATCTGGAGACACAGCCTGGAACAGAGATGCTCATGTGCTGGCTTAGGCGCCCACCTGAAGGTCTCTCCTGGAGGGATCCCCACACCTCCCAGGTCATCGTCTTGGTGCCAGGCACAGGAAGATCCTGCTTGTGACTGAGGGAGGTATAGGGCGGAGGTGGTGAGAAGCACCAGGGAGCAGTAAGAGAGAGGCTGAAGTGAAGGGTCTGGCCTAGCGAACCTGCCAGTACACTGGAGGTCCTGGTGCAAACTTGGGGTCCTGGTCAGCACCTGATTAAAAGGGATCTCCTGAGAGCAACTGGAGGGACCTCAGAACCCTTACAGGGTTGAGAGAGGCCTTGCACAATTTTCCCTATTTCAGACATGAGGTTTCCACTGCCATCTCAACCCATCACTCTCCAGGTAGGTGACTTTGATTCAGTTCCAAGCCTCATCTGAGCTTGCAAACATCCAGTGACCTAGCTCAATTAATTATAATGCTGGTTAGAAGAAAAGATTATGATATGAACCAACACTAAATGGGCTCTGAAGTCGAGGCAAAGTCTGTGCCAAATACTTTCCAGGTATTTCCAGTTAGTCCTCAACACCACATACATAAAAGAGGCTGGTGGTGACACGCCCACAGTTATACTGTCAGTCAGATCTGCAACTCTACAACTCTCTCTATTGAATAAACGACTGGGGATGGGGGCTGAAGGATGCTCCGAATATTTGTGTCAGCATCCTCCTCAGATCCTTTTCCTCCAGGTCCTCTCTCAAGCCCCATAAGGAGCCACAGTCTGCACCAGAGGCTACATGGAGGGGGCCATGCTCAACTCAAGGAAATGGGGACTTTTGTTTGGTGAGACTTTCCGCTCTGGAGTAACTGAGTGGGAAGAAAGAGTTCTCTCTGTGTGCTTTGTTTTATACCACTTGGCCCTTTTGAAAAGTGACATAATTGATAAGAAAGAGGTCAAGGGGTTGTATTGGAGGCTTGGGATGCTTGAAGAGTGAGGAACAGATAAGTGGAAGCTTTGAACATTAGGTTGGGGGAATAAAGATTGTGATGGGGCCTGGAGGCTATGAGGAGGACCTAGTCGGATGTCATTTCTGTCATGTTCTGAATTCTTATTTTCCTTATCAGAATCATCTCTTCTGATTACAGAGGCCACCATTCTTTTTGTGGGAGCCTTTTCTTCTCCACGAAGTCATGGAGATCAATGGGTCTGACTGAGCATCAGTTCTGACTCCAGTGTGCTTAGCGATCCAGGCCTCTCCCACTTCTGCTACAGTGACTAGTTCAGGTAGGAGCATGTGACTATAATCTCGGCCAATGAGTGTGATGCCTGAGACCTGATTCAGCTAGTGAAAGAGACTCTCTTCTTCTCAGGTGTTGAGGTGGAGGATGCAAGACAAGAAGACGTGAGCCTGAGTGGCCAGGGCCATCCTTGACATCTTGTATAAAGATTTTGGTTGAGCATGAAGCCAACACAGAGGAGATCTAATAATTTAGCCCCTTGATCCAGCCGTACCTGAAGTCATCTGGACTTGCCAGTTACTCAAGCTATTTATTCTCATTCCTACTTAATCCAGTTTGAATTTATTATAGATAGGAGTCTTAATTCAAGAAATCTGGGAGGAAGTCTAGGCATAGGAGAGGAAGGGGGCCAGCTGAAAGGTGGAGAGGTTAGGACATAAGCTGTGGGTTCTTACCTGTCTGACTCCTGATATGGTGGGCCTAACACAAGCCCTCTTGTTGGAAGTCCTCAAGCCAAGACCTGGCTGGGTCCCTGAAGCTTTGATCCTATCCTCTGTGTATGACTGGCCATTTCCATCTTCCATTGGGCCACGGCCAACAAGGGCACCAAGAGGGCATCAGTCACTGTGCTTCTTCAGAAGGGCTTCAATCAGGGTTCCATGACCACATTACTTAACATTGCGTCCACAGGGAGACTGTAACATAGAGAACATTGCTCAGAGAAGGTGCAGGACAGGAGGGACATGCTGCACAACCAGAGAGATAACCACACGCAATTTGGTCATGCGTTTCCTCCAGTTCTCACAGTAGCCCTGAGAAAAGGAAGCCCAAAGTCTGGCACCTACCAGGTCACAAGATAGGACATGAAGCAAAGTTGACTGGGTCCCCACAACTGTTTACTTGCCCCTATAACAACATTTCCTGAAGGTAGTTCTTTATTATATTGCTCCTATGAGATGCTACACACACACACACACACACACACACACACACAGAGGTTCCAAAGCCAATGCATTTGGAAAGTTCTGGAAACAAAATAAAAATAAAACTTATTTCCTATAGAACTTCTCAGAGACTATGAATCGTGATATGCCTTTTTAAAAGGAACCAAGAAGCTCTAACGGGAATGGGGGCATCTGCCTCTGGAACTTCAAGCTGTCAGTAACAATTTGTAGTTCACCCAAACCCCCTGAACCTGCCCAGGGCATATTCCTTTCTAAACCCAAACTAATCAAGTAGACTCCGCTCATGACAACTTCATGAGTAGAGAACTCTGCTCGTTGGGCTTCAGTGGCTGATTTTCAGAAACAGGTCACTTGACTTTTCTTCCACGGAGCATCTGGGTAGACTTAAACCTTTTAGTTGGCAAAACGCCCTTTAACTGTCTGCATCACACAAGAGTAAAGCTAAAAATCCTCACCATTGTGCTAATAGGCAACACCATGATAGATGGAGAAAAAAGATTGAAATTATCAGTGATTTACGTTTACTTGGATCCACAATCAACACCCTTGGTACCAGCAATCAAGAAATCAAAAGATATATTACATTAGGATAATAGGGGTAGCATAATAGGGGTAGATATGTCAGAGTCAGTGAGACTCGCTCAGGATAGGGCAGGGTTCAGAACTATTGTATTATTTTGCTCTGAGTCATAGGCGACTCAATGACACACAACAACATTACTGTAGGAAAGTCAATGGTCAAAAACCTCTCAAAAGAACTAAGGAGAAAGGATGTCAGTTTAAAGACTAAGGTGAGCCAGATTGAGGTCATTGTCTTTTCAGTCACTTGCTATGCTGCTTAGGATAAGCAGTGAGGATGACAGAAGAGTTGTGGTAGTGGAGAAGAGTAGTAGGTATCCTGTGAAATGCTAAAAGAACAAACAAATCTGTCTTGGAGAAAATGCAACCAAAGTGCTTCTTAGAGGCAAGGATGGAGGATGGCATGTGGTCAGGAGGGGCCCCATCCTTGGAAAAGGACATCATACTTGGAAAGATCAGTGAAAGGAGGACCCTTAACATAACAAATTGACACGGTGACTGCAGCAATAGGCTCAAGTATATCAGAGACGGTGAGGATGGCACAGGATAGGACAGGGCTCAGATCTGTTGTTCATAGAGTCACTATGAGTAAGTACTGGACTCGATGGCACCAAATAACAACGATGATGATGTAATCTGGAAGCTGCATAATAATTCCTCATGATCTCGTTAAGCAAATAGCTCCCTGAGGGTTTAAGGTAGAAGGCAACCCAACCTAGATCGGATGCAAGGGACTTTCCCCAAGGTATATGATCTGTCACACTTTCTCTCACTAGTGATAAAAGGGGAGAAAATCCACTGAGAGAAGGAAACTCAGTATCAGGAAGAAAGAACTGTCAAGAGTAGGATGTGTCTTAAGGACTCAGGCACCTGGATCCTGTGATGGGAAGCTCCTTGGCACCAGGGGAGTCCAGGGCACATGAAGATCTTCAGGGAACATCTGGCTTACAGATGCTGAAGAAACCAAGGAGTTTCCTCCACAGCTGATACACAGAGAAAGGCAGGCTTCCCTAGAGCTGGCACTCTCAATTTGGACTTCTAGCCTCCTAAAACATACAAGAATAAGTTACCTTTTGTTAAAGCCATCTGCTTGTGGCATCTCTATCACAGCAGCACTAGATAACTAGGATTCCCCAGTACCTTCTTCCTCTCCACCTGCCTCTCCCAGCCAGCCTCCTATCTGGCTGTACTCTCATCCCCTACACGAATCTTCCATTCAAATCCAAGCAGATTCCAGAAACCTTTGCCCTGCACAGTCCCATCTTCTGCGCCTACACTCCACTTCTTTGCATCTCCAAACTATGAGGTTGAATATTCCATTTTGCTGAACTTCTGACTCTACCCAAATACATCTGTGTGTTCCAGGAAATAGTAAATTATCTGATTAATATTTACCTCTAGACATGGTTTTATAATCCACAGCAGAAGATAAAAAAAAATACAGAAAAAATGGAAAGTGGCCCCAGGCCCTTTAAACTATTCTGAACTGGCCAATGTAGTATGGACAAACACCCTCCTCTTTTCTTTGTTCCTCACTGATGCCAATTGAACTTCAGCCTGCTTTCACCAAAATGTGCATTTTAAATATATTTGCTGTACATTCAGCTAGTTTTGCTTCTGGACTTTATAGTAAGTTTGAACCTTTCACAAACCATACCTCCCCTTAAGCTTCAACCTCTTCCTCAAGTTTCCAACCTCTTCAGCACGCTCTCTCTCTCTCTCTCTCTCTGTGTGTGTCTCACCTGCAAATCCTTTGAGGCAATGATGTCCATATTATTACTATGACACATCACCTTTCCCTGTTAACCAGGTTCTAGGGCTCACTCTCATCCACTAGTCAGGCTATGTGAACTTGCAGTTATTAGTAGTTCCTTCATCCCCTTCAAATCCAGCAACAACATGGAGGTGGACATTATTTTCCTAACAACATTGTGAGGCCAAAGAGTTCAGTCCTGTTTTAAAGATAAGAAAACTGAGGCTCAGAGTATCCTAATGTGTAAAAGGAGCAGTGGCAACACGGGAAAATAAGAATCTGACTTCTGCCTGCTTCATAATGGGGAACTCTCCCCATCAATAACATCCATTATACTAAACAAATAGCTACATGGTCAGACATACCACTCCACATGCTCCTGCACATGTTTCTACCAATCATTGAGTCCAATGTTCATCGCAACTTCACTCAGAGACTTTACTCATAATTATGGGGTTTATTAGGGAAATAGGTTGGAGAGTGAGGAAAGTAAAGAATATCACACAATGCAAGTCCAGGTTCAGTCTATCAGTCCCAAGTCAGGTTAACAAGGCACAATTCTTCAATTAATGGAAGTCCACATTCAGTTCAGCAACACAAACACAGCTCTGGTTCCCTCAATCATCCAGCAAACTTTATCTCAGAGCACTTACAAGTCAGATTTTCCTTCAGTAATCCAGAAGCAATATCTTTAACTGTGGCTCTATCTCCAGGATTCCTCCAGTTACACCTTGCCACAGTCTCTTCACAGCAGTGCAATAGTATCTTCACAGTAGTGCCACAGTCTCTTCACCCTCTCTCCACTACTGTCTCTCAGTGTGGAAAGCGCTCTCTTATATTGACTCCAGCTATTGATGATTTGCAAGACCATATGTGTGCAGTTAAGATAGCAGGTGACCATGCCCCCAACTGGGGCTAATGCAATGGATAGAAAAGTCAGTTTTCAATGTTTCAGACAACATACAATGTCTTGTCCAATACAGTCAAGAGAAGAAATGGGCATCATACTCAGGCTTGAATGACTCCCAAGGCTGCTTATTTCACAACACCCTCTTGCTTCCAAAGAAGCTTCAGACATTCATTCCTTTGTTGTTGCTATGTGCTATCAAGTCACTTGCAACTCATAGTGACCCTGTGTACAAAAGCATTGAACCTTGCCCTATCTGAAGCCAGTCTCACTGACCACAGCATGCCTACTCACTATTACCCCAGAAATACTGTATCAGTACATCTCATCCAGGGTCTTCCTCTCCTATGCTGTCCCTCCACCCTTCTAAGCACGATGTCCTTCTCCAAAGACTGGTTCCTCCTGCTCACATATCCAAAGTATGTGAGACAGAGCTTTAAAATCTTTGCCTCCAAGGAGAAACTAGGTTTCACTCTTTCCAAGACAGACCTGTTTGTTCTCTTGGTAGGCCACAGTGTGTTCAATACTCTTCTCCAGTACCATAATGCATTCAATTGACAAGTATTTATTAAGCATATATGTTAAGTATATTTTTTGTAAGGTGACCCAACAGAATGTGGAAACTACAGAACAATCTCACTGATTTCATATGCAAGCAAGATTTTACTGAAGATTATCCAAAAATGACTGAAACAGCACATCAACAGAGAACTACCAGAAGTCCAGGCTAGGTTTAGAAGGGGTCGTGGTACTAGAGATATTGTAGCTGATGTTAGATGGATCTTGGCTGAAAGCAGGGAATACCAGAGGAATGTCTATCTGTGTTTCATTGACTATGCAAAGGCATTTGACTGTGTAGATCATAACAAACTATGGTTGACTCTGAGAAGAATGGGAATCCCAGAACACTTGATCGTTCTAATGGGAAACTTATACTTGTACCAGGAGGCAGTCGTCAGAACAGAGCAAGGGAACACTGCATGGTTGAAAATTGGGAAGGGCGTATGCCAGGGATACATCCTATCTCCATACCTTTTTAACCTATATGCAGAACAGATTATCCGGGAGGCTGGGCTCTATGAGGAGAAATGTGGGGTCAAGATTGGTGGACGATTTATCAACAACCTGCATTATGCGGATGACACAAACCTGCTTGCTGAAACTGAAGAGGACCTGAAGCGCCTGCTGCAGAGTGTCAAGGACTGCAGCCTCCAATATGGATTGAGGCTCAATGTCAAGAAGACAAAGATTCTCACCACTGGACCAATTGGCAGCATCAGGATGGATGGTGAAGCGATTGAGATTGTTCACAGCTTTAGTTTGCTTGGCTCCATAGTCAACAGTCTTGGCACCAGCAGCCAGGAAACTAAAAGGCACATT